GGTCTATAACATACATAAATACAATACTTGATTACTAGTACATAATAATAACCAGTTATGATGTATTGTTATTATATTATAATATACTTACCAGTTCCTTCCATGATTTATTGTTAATATCAAATATCCAAATATCAGAAGTATTTAATCCACCCACCACTAGTAGGTGTGGTCCTGAGCTAGTGTTAATCAATACACTGGAATGAGCATTTCTTTCCTCAGGCCATTGTACTGATCTTCCAGGATTAGATAACTTTGAACAATTCTAAAATAATATAATAAAATTTAAATTATTATAAACCACGCCCACACACTCAGTGTTATAAATAATAATAATACAAACATACAGTACATTATTAATGGACCCAATCCAATGAAATTTTTTTTAACTAGGCGAATATAAACATTGAGGGGGCGAGCATGAGCTATCGACGTGGCTTAGCTTGACTTAATTGAAATAAAATTAAAATGATTCTAATCTAGCTCTTGAGAGAGAAAAGAAGGTTCACCTCTCATTTCAAGACCATTACCTGCATGCATATTCAGACCCCGACCTCACGGTCAGGGTCTGAACAGAGCAAATATCACCAATCACTTCAGTACTAACAAAACTAAATAACCAATCATCAACTAATAAAAGAGACAAGAATAATGCTGTCACTAAGAACCAAAGCCAAACTTCTAGAGTCAAGCTCTTCTCACATTCTAGTTCTATCAATGAGAGGACTAATCCAGGAGAGTCTTAGATCAAAGTACAAGCTACTAGGCAAATGTAAAACATTAAGGGATGAGCAAAACAATTAAAATTTCGATTAGCAGTATACAATGTCTATATAGACAATGATGTAGTGGCTTTTAAATGTTGAATGTTGATGTCATTACACTACTTGAATGCAGAAGGAATTTCATAGCTTGTCAGTTCTAGCTTTATGAGTTAAGAATCTCTGCAGTTATATAGATCTAGCATGGAAGATACTTGGTCTCAGAAGCCAGAACAAGACTCCATTTGTTGTCTTTGGGCACGACAAGACCTATCTTTAGCATTTCTATTGGGCCTCCCTGCTCTTTTCTCCTCCTCAGCCTCGCTCCTTCTTCTCTCCCAATCACGCTCTTTACGAAGAAGTCGACGGGCTTCATGAGCATCTTCTTGTGAATTACTCATGTCTTAAGTTTCAGCTTCTCTTGTTTCTTGAATACTCTTGAATTCCTCTCTTCCAGTGATTAAGTTGCTTTACTCATACTCGTTGTCTTTGCACGTGGTACCATAATTATCAAAATTATCTATTTTAAATGTGTGATTATTATTTTATAAACGTATAAATAGGGGTAATGTATGTGTACAAACAGACAGACATACTCGACTCGATTATGTGGGGCTCGCTTTTGCTCGCCCCAATCAAATATTCTAGTCAGCAAAAAAACTTGCACAAGCACTATAGCTGACCAAAATTAATATTATAGAGTATACTTAAGTTTACAGACTTTACAGAGCTGATAGACTAGCCTTTAGAGAT